TATACCATAGTGTTGTTTACAGGTGACAGGAAAACAGTTTGCAACGGGGGCGACTTCACCCCCTCCCCCCTCCCCCCCCCTTCCAGCCCCTAAAAGCAGGTCCACTCATTTCAGGAGCGGATTTGAAACCTCGCAGGCCTGTGACGTGGCACAGCGCCCTCTGCTCTGCTTTGGTTTCAAGAATCTCTAAATAAAGACAATAAGTGTGAATGTAAGGGACTTTTTCTTCCTGCAGTGTTTATCCCACCCCCTGCCCCGCATCAGACTCGTGTCTGCAGAGGAGCCTGTGGCAATCAGGAGAAGTGATACACGCTCTTTTTTATCAGTGCTTTGCTCAATCTTTGGAGAGGGGGCAGGGGGAGAGGAAACGCGGAGGCGCACCCCGGGGGGTCTCACTGAGGTCCTGCACTCAGCACATAGTGCAATGTATCTTCTTCTTAATAAAGATGAGACATTTTCCCATGCAAGCACAAAAAATAGTTGCAATTCTTTGGCAACAATGACGAGAAATGCTCATCGTGATATCCAGGGGTCAACGCATGACAACGTTTGGAGTCAAGCTGCTCAGTGAGCCCGCGCACACTCAGTCATTAAGTGACAGACACTCGCCGTTAGACGCCCGCGGGTATTATACTCAGAAGGAAGAAGCCGGTCACAGAGACAGGCCGCTCTCTGTGCGCTCGGAACGCACATTACCCAGGATGTTGAGTTTCATTACGCACGGAACAAAGAAATAAAGGGTCGAGCCGTGCGTCCTGGTGCCTTTTACCCCTGCAGGTGCTATACATGAGCCCCCAGGTAACAGTGATGGAGTGACTGCTATAATGATCAATCAGTATTCAGAAATTAAGTATTCACCTGGATTTTAAGATTCTAGGTTTTCGTATCAGTGGATCGAGAACAGGAAATCAAAGCGCCACATGTCCCGGCTCGATTAGACGCAGCACGGCCGCTGCATCCGGACAACGTGTCGGTGAAGATATGAAGCCAGAGCCGACAAAAGTGGAGGGTGCAGCGACAGGCCCCGAGCAGCTGCTGCTGCTGCTGCTGCTGCTGCTGCCTGGAGGAGGAGAGCGATGGGCCGACACAGTGTGGCCTCTGTGCGTAATAAATAACTGTCATCCTGCCGTGAAGGTAAAGAGTTCAGTACAAAACAATGTTAATAATCATAAAATAATCATACAATTATAGTCATAATCATAATTCAAGTAGTAGTTGTGCAGAAACCAAATACTGTTTGTTTTTATCATGTGTGTTGAACAGCTTAAATTAATTTATTTAAATACTTTGCATATGCAAATGAATAATTTCAATTTTGCTTTCAAGATAATTTTTTACAATTTATTTTTATTTTACAATTTTTCTAAACCTCCTTGTATGTGAAAACACTAAATGATTCAACTCCTCCCACATTTGTTCTTAAATTATTTAATGCGTTTGCACATTTTTTAAAACTGTAACAGTAACATGCAGTCGTGCTTAAATGTTGAGGACTTTGTTTGAAATCATCACATCAAATCTCACGTCCAATTCACTGGTACAAGGATAAAATGTTGAGGTTTTTCTAAGCAGCTTGTCAACATTTGACTTAACTGTAACTGACTTTCACTTCATGCACAATCAATCACTGCAATTTTAAAATATAACACCACAGTATACTGGCCATCACAACCTGGCTGTCCTAGTTAATCATCAGTAGTTATAATACAAACCTGGTTAATCTTTTAGTGGGTAAGTGCCCGACGAGGACTGTGCATTTAAAATGTGGTTTTCTGCATGAAATGATTAGAAGATGAGGCTGAGTTCTGAAAACCGCGAGAAATCACTTCCTGAGACAATCTGAACAGAGGAAGACAGAGCAGAGAGCAAATGTCCCACACAAACTACTGACGCCTGCTCACACACTCAGGTTACAGCTCTCAACATGAAAACACATCAGGCCACGGCTTAGTCAAACATTTTATTATGAACTCGTCTCTCGCTCGCACTCACATGCATAAACACACACACATACAACAATCTCATGTAAGTCTCCAGAGTGCGCCGACTTCTCCATAGTGTTGCCCCATGTGTTCTTACTGCAGAGTCAAAAGTGCCATAAAGTGTTCCTGTCCCTCAGATGACGCAGGGTAACTTGACCGTCAGAGGAACGTGATTCTCACCAACCCATCGCCACAGTCTCAGACTCACAGGAGTGAGTGTTCCACGAGGACATTCAGAGAAATTCAGGGTCATACACATGCAGGTCTTTGAAAGTGGAGTAGAATTGACCCGTGGATGACAACAGTCAGGTACAACTCCTGATTAATCTCCAGATTGTGTTATAGAGTGTCTCCCATTTCGAGTTCCCTTACACCATTTCTTTGCAAATTTGTGACACAGAAGAAAAAAACATGAAAGACATTACTTGTGTGACACGTCAGGTGATGTGCTCTTTTCTGCTTAGTGCGGGGGCTCATTCTGAAAGTACAGTTGCAATGCTTTCAGAGAACTCGGTTTAATAGCAACAGTCATTAGGAAATGAATCTGTCCTCTTATGTTTTTTTATGATCAGCAAGTCGAGTGAGGTCACTTATTCTTTTTCTCTGTCCCTTTTTTTCTGAGTTGTACAATATATTCTAAAAGTCAGATATGCAATAGATACATATGTTCAAGTTCAAAAGGTATTGAAAACAAAAAACAACAACCATGGTACACATTTACATATCTACATGTATGCAGATGACACACTGAGCTTGTGATACACCAGCTTCTAGTGAAAGGCATGCGGTGTGTGCCAAGGCCTGAACAGTCATCGTTACCCTCAGGTCGACTCTGGAGGACACAGGTTTGATACCAGGCTCTGACCAAGTTCATACAGACAATAGATACGCATATATTTTATATGTGAAGAGTGGGATCCAAACAAATCTGAAACCACTGTCTCATTCATTCCATTAGGAGCGTGGTCTCAGACTTTGATGTCTGACTTAATGAATGTACAAACACACACTCACACACAATCCTGCCTCTGCATGACGGACACTTAGTAGTAACGGCATTGATACATTTTTGATGTTCATTTATAAAATGCTTTAAAAGTATAAAAATACATTGGATGAAGTGTGTAGTGGAGCATAAAATGTTTTTATTGCACAGTCTCTCTCTCTGTGTTGTACCGACAGTCAAAAGTGAGGGGGTGTTAGGGGTGGGTGACAGACAGACAGACAGACAGACCCCCCCACCCGTCTGATTTCCATGTCCCACTCGAGTTTCATACGTTCAACTTTATTTCATCCTCCAGGTTGATGATCTGCCGGCAGTCAGGTGTTTGCTGCCCTCAAGAAGTTAACAAAAACTACAACAAAAGGAGGTAAATGAAGAAAAACTAAATCCATTTGTGTGATTCTCATGATATGAAATGATGATGCATTTCCTCTCTGAAATTCAGAACTCCACATCCAGACTTGTCCTCTGAGGCAGCTGTTGAAACCCCCCTCCCCAGCTCCTCCTGGGTGGGTGCTGACAGCCCATGTCCCGACTCTGGCAGCCAAAGGGTGTTCGTCACACGCTGGTGGACTTGTGGCTGCCGCTCGGAGGCACAGAGAGCCGCAGGGCCTCCCCGTCCTCCTCCTCCTCCTCCTCCTCGTCCTCCTCGCTGTCGGTGTCCCCGAGGTTGGGGAGCAGTTTGATGCGGCCACTGCTCCGCTGCTGGGACACCTGGAGGTTGGGTGCCTTGACTCCATCTTCATCTGAAGACTGGTAAGACTCGTTGTCCCCGACATAGTGACTGACAATGTGGATGCCATCAAAACTGGGCTGATTGGCCAAACCCCTCTTTCCTTTCAAGCAGCAGATCTGTGGGAGGAAGGACGGAGAGTGTTAGGAGCAATGCAAAAGAGACTTATAGTCAGTCAACAGACACACGTATGTTGTGAACAAACTATACAAGACAATACATTCAAATGTGTGACAGTCAGTGATACTGAATTTGTATCACTGACACAAACTGAATAGGGTGTTGTTCATAAATCAGACATGCAGGCAGCAATTCAATCAAAAACCACAGGGAAATAATGAGCTGAGTCCCAGTTCCATACACCATAACAATAGCATACAGTCTACTTCTTCGTTGTTGATTTTGTTGGTGGTAACCAACGTCAAGGTGCATTACCGCCATCTACTGTGCTAGTGCACCGTTCCTGGAGGTACTGCAATACCAGCTCGACGTGTGGAATGGACAGGAGCAAGCCCCTGTTCCATTTCTCGGTTCCAAAAATATATTTAATGCATCAACAAAAAGTATACAGTCTTATATTTCTCATTTTTATACACATAATAAAAGGCATCTTATAATAAAGTATTTGTATCCAATTAGCTTGAATGTTTTTCCTCAGCTGTGAATTAAGACTTTGCACACCAAGTGCATATTTTTCAAATGCTTTTTTAAAATTTATCATCCAATAAAAATCCTCTCACCCAGAAACCTTACACACTGCGTCCGATGCATTTCATTATTTTATTAGTTCCAAAAATTTGCAGTAGGAGATAAAATGGAGTCGAGCAGTGACAATGATTTTGTGTCCTCTCACTTTTTGAAAAACGAAAACATTGGGTCCATCCAATCCCAAACAGCAGCTGACAGGATGTCTACAGTTGAGAAAAAACGCACACATGCACGCACTCTCTTGCTCGCTCGCTCGCACACACACACCTTTCTGTAACAAGGTTGACAGAGGCGAAAAAAGGCAGGAAACTACGGACTTGGTGTGCAAAGACCTTTACTCTGTGTGTTCATGCTGACATCTCTGGTGCTTATGCTTTATTTTGTCACAACTCCAGTGTGAATGCACTTCATATTATAAACGTACATCAGTAATATGGATTTGGGACAAAGCTGTTAATAATTTCCTCTTCATTGGTTGGCTTTGTCTGGGAGACAGTCCTGAATGTGTCTTATGAAACGGTTTAGGGAAGTGGTTGTGCTCTGTTTATCAAAGGTGGAAAGTTGACCCGATGTTTATTAAACTAACTAAGATTGTCTTCTTTCACAAGGTATTTTTGGTCTAAAAAATAATAAAATATGTATGTCTTTATGTGGTTTGTCCAAATCATTTTCAAGTACATTGTCTACTTTGCATTTTGTGGCTGGTGGGTGAAATCACACTTTAAAATGACTGAACTGCAGTTGCTGTGGGTGTTTTTTGTTTCTCCACTGCGGAGAAATGTGATCATTATTCTCGCACTCACAGACAAACTTTCACAAACCGTGGAAAGATTTGAGCTGTGTATTCATACAAGCTTTGCAAATCACATCAAAAAGCTTCAGCACGTGTAAGGTGGGACTTTGGGTTAACCTCTTCACCACTCATTCCAAACAGAGCTCACCACCCTCGCTACGAATGAGACAAAAAGTTGAGGGCTGCAGTGGGGGCTACATATCAATGTGGTTAAGGGCCAAAACAAGGGCACATGGCACATCTGTACCAACTCACCTGACGGGGCCTGCCATGCAACAGACAGACATGTAGGAAGAGATGCATTCAGAGGCCAGTTCAGAGCACAGTACACAGAATTACAAAAAGAAGCCTGTTTACCTGCACCTGTCTACACTTCCTGCTGCTGCCATGCAAAAAAAAAGGAAATCATGACGTGATCAACATCTGTCTGACAGCAGTAAAAATTTTCCAGCAATATAACACAGGTTTTAATGCAGACTGTGAGGGAGGAGGGCGGTGGTACTCTCAACTTTCATGTTTGCTCACCGAAAAACACTTGAGGTAGCACTTAGCATGATTCATAGAAGGCCACTTAACCCTTGACAGCCACAAAGCAAAACCATGTGAGAGGGGAAATGACAGCTCTGCCTTTATAAAGTGTTCTCAATCTCAATTCAACCACAGTTCCCAAACACTTGTGGTCAAGTGTTTTTATTCTGGCTTGTTTTGAGTGAAGCTGATCAATGTTATAATGTGATATTGTTCCTGTAAAAAAAAGATCTGCTGATTGTATTATTTAAAAACCGGATAACAAAGAAGCATCAGCTTCTCAGCCATCAATGAGTGGAATGTGCTTATTAGAGGACAGATGTTCAACCAATGACACCAGATGTTCTGAAGTGGAGATTCACTGCTCTGATGTCAGTTGAGTTCATCAGTAATCTTTCAGTCGATAATAAGAAAAGTTGGTTTGGAAGAACAGAGCTTTAACATTACCTATTGTCAGATTCATTTCATAGGATTTAATATGTATTATTTATACATACAGTATATCTCAGAGCACTTTTCCATTCACTTGACTGTCGATTGTTGATATCTAAATGCCTCTGATTCGTTATGACGTTATTATTGTGATATTTTCCACAACCATAATACTAACGATTATTATTATTGTTCATTAGTTTCTTTTCAGGGAGTGGTCCCTGGGAGCTGAGGTGTGTTGATCGATGGGCAAACTGAGGGACCACTTTAAGGAGGGGTCACCTTACTCCTCCTGTGTGCAACAGAATTCGACTGCCATCCCTCTAATAAACCAACCCCCCAAGAGTTTAAGGTCATGTCCACACTACTGTGTTTTGGTGTTAAATCACATCACTGCTGCTCTGTTTACACCTGCCGTCCAGAGTTTTCCAGCCTCTAAAACTGAGAAGTTTGGAAATGCTATGTTCAAAGCTCAATTTTAGTCACAAGATCCAAAAACCAAACACAAATCATAATATACATAATTGGAAACAAGTGTGGCAAAAAGGACAGTATATATAACATCTTATAAACACAATTTAAAAGAAAAGTAATCACATTTGAGCTCAAATTGTAGTTGTACACTTTGTTATGTATCTTAGCTCCACGCTGTGACAAACCTGCTGAACGCCACTTGTAGTAACATCTGTACACACTATCTGTGAGGGTATTTACAAGAGGTGTGCCTTGTGAGCTCCACACAGGAAGTCTATGGGTGTAGTTAACACTTCTACTAATCTGTTTGCTTCAAAGCAAAACCATATCTGAGGGAATGTTGTCGGTCTTGTGAAACTCTACATCAAAGAAACGGCAACAACAAAATCTGAATCTCCACAAGATAAAAACTCTGCTGTCCTGATTAGTACTGATTGTGATGCTTCTTTTTGATACATGTTTTCTTCTCACCTCATGTTTTAGTTCAGATATCTGGTCTTTGAGGTCACGGATGTACTGGCTCGAGTCTGTGTGGTTCAGATGGACTTGGACCTTCCCTTCTTCTTTCTGTTGGCAGAGAAGATATCGGGTTAAAAAAAAGAAGCACAGTAGAACAGGTGGAGGGAGGTGAAGACATATTTCAGCATCATGCAAACCCATCGGCAGAGACAAAAGTGGCTACACTGGAGACTAAACGTCCAACGCAGCAGCAGAACAAATTTCACTTATTGAATACCCATTGATATGAGCAGTTGTGAGCTACTGCACGTTCAGGATTCACAGACCAGAGCTCCACAGCTAAAAAAGCAGGATGATGGCGTACACTGCGAGTGTGGCGGGGGAGCAAAATGACAGATGTCAGAGGAAACACAAGACAGTGTAATTTGTACTTGATTTCCTCCTGGGGCCCTGGGGATGAGGCAGCTTGTTAGCTGTAACAGTTAAAACAGCCCATGTGATGTTTACTCTCCTCACTGAAGACATCTGCAGACTTTAGAGACAAACACATGCACACACGTTCAAACCTCAATCACACCCTTGAACCTGACACTTTTCTGGTCTCACAATGAGACCAGAAAAGGACGCTCGGTGGAGTTCAAACCACAAGACCAAAAAGGGAAGACTGCACACAGCACGGGTGGGGCGTCAGAGACAGAGTCTTCTCTGGTCCGACCCCCAAAAATACAGATAGGGTTTGTGATTCCTGTGGTAAGGTGCAGTTGAGTTTTGTGGATCCCAGTAGGCCCTTTTTTCACAATAGGGTCGAAACAAGTGAGATTATTCCAAGAATCGGTTGTTTTTGAGGTTTTGTTGTTCCAAAACATTGCAACGATAAGAGACCAGGCAGTTAATAAGACTTCCTCATGCTCAGCTGTGTGAATCAGCAGGTGTCAGACTGTGTAACCGGGGACGTGAACGTTTCTTCAGCCTCAGTCTGTTGAACTTTGTTTGTGAGAGTGCAATTAAAGACCATTGGCATATTTTGACTCAAAAACAGCCGTTCAAAAAAATCATTGTGTGATATACAAAAGTCCCAACAAGTCCCAAAGTGCACAACATGCTGGTCAGTGCAGATCTTTCCCCTCTGTGACACTCACATATTCTTATTTTGATTCCCTCTGGAAATTAATAAATGCATGTTCCACAGCCAATGTCATCTCTTGGTTAAAATGTCTACGTAGACATAGGTAAAACCACCAGATCTTCAAAAACTCACAGTGCAGAACACCTTAGTAACATCATAAACAAGATAACATCCAGCCTAGTGGCTGTACAATTTTCTAAGGCAAAACACAACACCTCTACACTTAGGCTTCATCCAGACTACCATGTTTTAGTTTGAACAGTTTCCAAACAACATTTTTGGCTCATTATCAATTTTAATCCTTGTCGATACTAACACACCTGAAAACACATCATGTGACCCCCTCATGTCCACTGGGTTTGTGGGTCCCGTTGAACACAGGAATAATAGCTCATTTTCAATGCATCGAAACAGTATCATTTTAAAATGGAGAGTTTAAAAACAGCTGTTAGCAAAGATAACAGGGTCACCAATGCTGGTAATTGAGGATCCATGTTGCATTTTACACTGGTGTATAGGAGCCTGACGAATCAGTAAAGGCTTCAGTGTGACAGAAAAGACCAAATCAGCAAGCGGTTGGATTGTTTCCAAACATCCCTGTTTTCTGCCAATGCAGATCTGGAGTATTTAAACTAAAGTGGGGCAAGCAGCATTACCAATTTCTCCATTGTAGGTATCAAACTCTTAAACTACCACACAGAGGGGAAGATAATAACTCCATGTTTTTAAAACATGAACCTATTCGGATATACAAAATGGGAATTCTAGCCCCAAAAGTTTTAAATGAAGACTTTGATATTACACCATTCCTGTGATTTTACTTCCTTCATCATGATTCCTGTATATACTGAGTCCTGTATATACTCTATAACGTGGGAGAACACCTCTATAACGACAGATTTAACTGATTTTTAATCCTTATCTTCAAAACGCACACTCTGGACAATTTGACCAGAACGTAAAACCACACACTTGCCGTTTATAGGAAAAGATTACAGAGAATTGAAATTTCACAATAACTTGTGATATCTTTTTCATCACTTTTTTTTATGACAGTTGGCAAATGACTCTTAGGTGCATTACCACCACCTGCTGAACTGAAGTGCGGAACACTTGTGTGATTGAATGTGACTTCTGATGAAAAACAACCATGGGGGAGGAACGATGTCATGTGTCCATGAAGAGCAGAAGAAGTTCATTTTAACAGCTTGTGCAGCTTCAGTCAGCACATTCAACACTTTGTGCATCTCCACTGTTGTGGCAGTGATGTATGCTTTACCCTGAAGGTGTGAAGGATGTGTGAAAAGTCACTGCCGCAGTGTTAAATGATGATTTAAAGTGCAAAAGACATCTATAGCTTCACTCAAGTGCTTTGAATTATTACTCACTGATTTTTAAAAATGTAATTACTTACAACAAGATGCACACTCAGACTCAGACAAAGCCAATCTGATCCCACAACGACCTCTGATCTCTCACATTAAACCCGAGCTGCAAGTTGTCACAACCAACATGTGTCACCTTTGAAGAAGAAACCAAAAAAAAGATTTTCTTCCTCTTTTGCGACTGAGGTAAAAAAAAATATCACCCACAACTTACAGAGCAGAGAATAAAATCACAGACCCAGAAACAAATCATCATGATTTCAGCTCAGAAGGAAATATACCATACCAAACCCGTAAGAAGGCTGTACAACACTGTTCCTAAATGCAGTTTATAAAATACAGGAAAGTAAGGTGCATTTTACGACACACTTGACAGAGTTTATGATGCAGAGTCTGAAAGGTATGGAGGCGGTGGTGGTGAAGTTTTGGTGTTGTATGTTTTTGCTCGATCACTTAGTAACAAAACCTCAGACCACACTGTGTGACTGTGTATGTCTGTGAAGGGGAAGAGGGGGAGGTTATTTTGTAGGTGTCATACTTATAAATAGTCTGGGCCTACAGTTTAGACTATCTGGAAAGAAAGACCTTAAACTCAGGTACGTTTATGAGGCCACTCCACTTGCCCAAAGTCACAACTGTTTCCATCAGAGCTGTCCTTCTGACCCATAAGTACTAAGCTGTGATTATCACATGCACTTTACTATTGTTACACAAAATAAACTTCTTTCTGAGTACAACTACAAAATATGTCATCTCAATACAACAAAAAATAAAAATGTATTTATAAAACAAATGTTATCCAACCTGCTCAGAACTACAGGCACTGATACATCTCAGATTCATAACCCATTTCACGATCCTGCAGAAAAAGCAATCACTGTGAAATATGCAGAGTTAAGTGTTTACCCTCATGGCATCATTGAAACAATAATGATTCAATGATTTATCTTCTTTAGTCTGTACAAAATCATCATCTGCCTACTGCCACACTCACTCTTCATTATGTAGCTTTACTTTAGAATAGTCTGAATAGAATAATCTAGAATAATCTGTTATCGGTCATTACTGTTGAGTGTTGGCCCTGTGAGAACAGGCCTGTATTTGTTTTGGTCACCCTTGTTGTGTGTAGCGTTACATTTGTTTGAGGATAAATACAGCCCAGTTTCAATCAATATCATGAAGAGTCTTCAGTCACAGTTCTACCATATTTAACATTTGTCCAAAAACACTAATGGAGACAAATAATTTTAAAGTTATAAAATCTTACTAATTTTACATAAATAATAATAATTGTCAACATATTTGGTCAGCAAACTATAGAAGCTACACAAGCTTTGTCAGTCTGATTTAAGATTCAGAAATTCAAACACATCTGAAATCTGTGTCTGATGTTGTGGCTGTGGCTAAAAACCCCTTTAAAATATTTCACCTGCACACATAGACATGTGTCAACTACACAGAGACACTGCTCTTAGTTGCAAATTATAGTGGAGAGAGCTAAATGTTTGGTCACATTTCAGTAAAGTCGATGCTCGTTGCCACAAGATCAAAGAGTGCTTTGTATGCAAGGATGGAAACATGAGCCATGTGTCCAAACATCTTGGTAAAGTCCATCACATAAAAAACTGAGAGATGCAGTTTTTTTTTAACAGCGTAGCTCATTGTTCATCATCCATTGTCCAAAGTATTTTAGCTTATATGGGCTATGAGTACTGGTAACTAAATTACACACACATGACTCTAATGGGAGCATTCATAAACCCAATCAAAGCTTCATCAGATGTCCAGAAATTAATTGTTTCAAATCTCTGCACTGGCAAAATCATCATTTT